AAATGTAAGGTTTTGGTATTCAGCTGACAGAGAAAGTAGAAACCTCTTTGTTGACAGAAATAAAATGTGTCTTGTCATAGGTGTATGATGTTTACAGCTCCAATGAATCTATTTCTTCAACATAGGCACCCTGGTGCGGTGTGCTATAAATATTGATGTGATCACCCCAAACTGGCAGGATGCCTAGGAAGCCATGAGAGGTTTAGATAAAGGATTTTCATAAAGGTGTGTTCAATTGCTTCCCACCCTTCTCTCCCCACCCTCTCCTTTGGAATCTACATAACTCCAACTAAGTCTTCCCTGTTGAGTCCCCAGACTGAAAACCATTCCAGGTGTTCTGTGGATAGTGCTGAATCCTCTCCCCTTTCTGAAACACAGCACCTAATCGTTTTATCTTTAACATTTGATACAGTTTTGACAGCTCTAGCAGCTTCCCCCAGCTGGCTGCCTATCTGGTGTAGTGAAAGGATGCCTGGCGTCAGCTGCTGGTGAGGAAGAAGCCAGGCCATTTTAGCTGCAGGGGCAGAATTTTATGCTGTGATGTTCTTTTCAGTTCAGGGGACACTTTCCAGTAATCAAGTTGACAGCCTTTCTTAAAGTCACATGCCAGTCAGAAAATTGTTCTGTTTCTGAAGATTGAGCAAATGCTGATGCTTACAGTGCCAAAAAGCCAGTTCTCTTGTGGCAGATTTGTTGTTTCACTACTGTTTATTAATCTTCACCAACCACAAGACTGAAGGTCAAAATAGAGTGTCATCATGTAATCAGAAGTATACATTACTTCAGCGGACTACATTGCAGATTACTTCTGCAATTATATACACATTTTTAATTCAAAATTATTAAGTACCCAATGTATGTCAGGCACTGTTCTAAAAGTACGTTGATACAGGGATGAGCAAGTGGAGAAGACAGATGAGGTCCCTGCTTTCAGCTTGTCTTCTGATTACAGCAACTCCAAATAAACAAATAAGGAACATATCAGTTATAAAGACTATTTGTAACACTAAAATACAACAGAAGAGTGGGTGGTTACTGTAGACCGGGGTCATAAGTACTCTGAAGTGTAAGTTTTTAAAAGTTTTCAGAAGATTACCGATGAGACTGGTTTCAGGCAGCATGAATAGCTCACGCAAAGATTTTAATGAAGATTTAATGCGAGAATGTTTTTGAGGAACAGGTGGAAGCCAAGTTTGGTTAATACTTTTGACTATTTTTAAATATTAAGTGATAATAAAGGCAAAGCTGATTTAGCGTATTTGGAAGGAGAATGAAAGAACCACAAAGAAATTGTGTGGCTGCAATTCTTTAGGAATATTTTACAGAGAGTAACTTTAAGCCCTTCCGGCAAAGGTCTGGGAGACTAAGATTAAAAGCACGTGGCAAGATCACCCAGTCTCATCCAAGATGAGGATGTTGTTGGGGAAGAGGCTCTATTTTGGGTCCCCTGCAGGAGTTTTACCTCAACAGGCTCTCTGAGGATCCTAGTTTGAACGAAAACCCATTTTCCTTGAAAAGCAATGACAATTCCCTTCTTTTGTATTTGCTCTTAGTGCTTGGCATAAAAGTTAATAAATGTTGAGTGTTCAGATTTTATAGATGATACCAGTGTGTAAGCAAATGTGAAAAATTTGATTCCCTACTTGGAAACCTAGAGTAACTAGAAAGCTCTGTAGAATGTCTTGTCCTGGTGGACACCATTTCTGCCACTCTGAAGCACTTGGAGAGATAGAAGTCTGTGACAGAAAAAGACAGATGATTCAGAATATCACTTAACATTGACCTAAACCTTTGTTTTTTGATATTTGGAAATGAATACTCTCTGAGGAATATCAATGAATTGCAGTGACTAGACTACTTTAATTCAACTTCCTTTTGTAATCTCATAAATATACTTACTCCAGAAGAGCTGAAGATGTTTTGTAATGTAGAGTAGAACATGCCTCAGATTATTATCTTAAGGACATATACTTTCAAAAAGTAGGACATATTGACTAAATTTATGTGACTTTATTTATATAGGGGAGATTTTGTTTGGAACAAATTTAGGGGGTTGTTTTCTTCTGAACCTAAACTATCACATTCCCCCAAAATTTCTGCAGGGAGTATGATGGTTAAATTGGTGAAAGTTCTTTTCAGAAATGGTCTGGGAAATGCAATTAGGTTTTGTTAGTTGGAGAAGTAACTCAGGAAATTTTCTCTATTCAAGGTTTGATAATGGTGGCTAAAAAAAATGTTCTTACATTTAAATGACAATTGACAGCTTAAGAAAGACAGGTTGGATCCCTGTGCTGATCTTCAGAAACTTAAAGTTAGAGATCAAATAATTCTGACTAAAAGCCATATTAAAGAGCCTGGCTAATGTGAGAAATAGATTATAGAGTCTGATCACAGGCTTTATTCAGAAATTGGATTTCATAGATACAATATGAATTGCACAAAGCAATCTATCCAACAGGGGAAGGACTTGATGGTACTTAGAGATGTCATTTAGAAGAGTTTGAAAATATTTGGTATTTTAGTTTAAGTGACAGATGAATGGAAGTAAGCTAAATATTTGATATCAAGGACTTTTTAAATACAATAAAAATTATATGAAATTATTTAAAAATCTTTAAGAACTTTGGCAAAACTATAGGACTTTAAAATCAATCCTATTCTTTGCAACACTTACTGCTTTTGTTCTTGATTGGTGAGGCAGTAAACATTTGTGAATATGTCTGATCTCTGCTGAATTTTGATTGAAAAAAAAGAATGGGCATTTTGATACTTATAACCTCTTTTTTTCTTGGGCCTTCTGACCCCTACAAAATAGAACTGTCAATTGAATTAACTTTTTTTTTATTGAATACTTTCTTGTGCAAGGGACTGTACTTGAAGAAACATGACAAAATGAGTACAACAAGGTCTCTGCCCTCCAGTTGTTTAATCTACAGACAGAGAAATCTTTCTATTGCCTGTTGGTTATTACCATCCAGAATTTCTACATAACCTTAAATTTAACATATGAAAGACTAGATTGAACACCTCTTTCTTTATAATTCTCACCTTAGTTAATGTCAGTGGTGCCTCAAGTTGTCTCCCAAGCCTGAAATACAGAAGTCATTCATTTTTTTTTTTTAATTATTATACTTTAAGTTCTAGGGTACATGTGCACAACGTGCAGGTTTGTTACATATGTATACATGTGCCATGTTGGTGTGCTGCACCCATTAACTCATCATTTACATTAGATATGTCTCCTAGTGCTCTCCCTCCCACCTTCCCCCACTCCATGACAGGTCCCGGTGTGTGATGTTCCCCTTCCTGTGTCCAGGTGCTCTCATTGATCAATTCCCACCTATGAATGAGAACATGCAGTGTTTGGTTTTCTGTCCTTGCAAAAGTTTGCTGAGAATGATGGTTTCCAGCTTCATCCATGTCCTTACAAAGGACATGAACACATCCTTCTTTATGGCTGCATAGTATTCCATGGTGTATGTGTGCCACATTTTCTTAATCCAACCTATCATTGATGGGCATTTGGGTTGGTTCCAAGTCTTTGCTATTGCGAATAGTGCCGGAATAAACATATGTGTGCATGTGTCTTTATAGTAGCATGATTTATAATCCTTTGGGTATATACCCAGTAATGGGATGGCTGGGTCAAATGGTATTTCTAGTTCTAGATCCTTGAGGAATCACCACTGTCTTCCACAGTGGTTGAATTAGAAGTTATTCTTGAAGCATCTCTTCATGTACTCCTCACATGCAATCAGTCAAGTTATCTTAAATCGATCTCCTCAATGTCTAAAACCTGAGTTTTAATTCTCATATCAGAGGTCATAGTTACTGTTCCTGAATTAGTTTAATAGTTCCTTAAATAACTTCTGTGCATATGTATATCAGTATAAAGTTACCAATTAGCTTTTCTTGAAAAGCCTCTCTTTTATAATGAGGGTTTTATCTATCTTAACTTTCTGTTGTTTATTTTTAAAATAATGCTTGATTATGGCAAAAATTTAAATAGGAATCCAAATAACACAAATTACTATAATTTACTGAATATTTATTATGTCCTATGTGGTATTCTCAGGACTTTAAGCATATTCTTTCACTTATTCTCACAATAACCCTATCAGGTAAATACCATTAATATCTGTATTTTAGCATTAAGCAAACAGTGTTTAAAGGTTTATTACTTTTATATGTTAAAATATATTGCATTTTCATAAAAATAGAGATTTCATTTTATTTTTCTTAGCTAAGTAAAACATTTGACTAATCCAGGCTATTTTTAATAGATGGACTGATTGAATGTTTACTGAAATACAAAATCAGATAATGTCTTTGATAATGGTTTGCCTTTGATAGATCTTTTTTTTTTATTTGGGTAGGTCTGTCACTTACAAAGATACTGTGATGACAGTTTATACAATGTTTTATTGCGCAATCTGCCACATTGCGCAAACACTGAACTTCATGTTTTTGTTCAATAAATGAGGCTTGAAGACTAGTTGATATGCTATTAAACAGATCAGGAGTGATGAGGACTCAGTGAGAGGAAACCATATGAAAAGCAGAGGTCAGGAGTTACAAGCCCATAGAGATAACGTGACCAGAATTTGGTGTTCAAATGAACCATCCAAGAGAACTCTAGATCTGTAAGAGCAGTTGGAGAAACAGTGACTTTGCAATATTACAACGACGGCAATTCTGGCAGAGATCCCGGGTTGATGGATGATTTGGATGTTTGATTCTAATAATACAGTAGTTTCATCTGTTTGTTAAATTTTTAAATGATTATTCTTCCTCTTGAGTAATTAATGCAAGTTTCTCCTATTTCCATAGTACTTTCTATATCATTTCCAGTCTCCATTTCACTATCATATCTATTAAAGGAAAGGCTCTCATGAAATCAATTTAGACTAACATGCTTTTTCTTATGGGGCATTATATATATATATAGAGAGAGAGACAGTAACAGGCTGAATTCACTTTATTTTTCTTGTATAAAAACCCTATGTTGTAGCCACAGCTGGAGCCTGGGTCGGCTGCACGGAGACCCTGGTGTGGGTCTTGACAAGGTGGTCAGTGAATTCCTGATAGGGAGAGTTGGTGAATACAGTCTCCTTCCAGAGGTCAGGGGTCAGGTAGCTGTAGGTCTTAGAGATGGCATCAAAAGTGGCCTTGGCTGCACAACAAAAGAACCCCAGGAGGGTCAGTGGTGTGCTTGAGGCAAGTCTCCCAACCCCAAAATTGTCGCACTCCTAGGAACAGAGAGGCCATTCTGGGCGGGTCTGTCGTGTATTAGGAGAGCCTTTCTCTGCCTCCGTGAAAACACGCCAAGCACACACCGGACCCGTGTGGTTAAGCGGAACTGAGAGACCATGGCTATGCCCCATTCCTGGACCACCTACCGAAGTTGCCCAGGGTGGCAGTGCAGCCCCAGGCTGAGGTGTAGCAGTCATCGATACCAGCCATCATGAGCAGCTTCTTGGGCACAGGCGCTGAGACGATGCCAGTGCCCCAGCGGCCTGTCACCTTGCAAGGGACGGTGTGGGCCTTGCCGATCTTGTTCCCCCAGTAGCCTCTGCGAACGGGGACAATGGAGAGTTTGGCCAGGATGATGGCCCCACGGATGGCGGTGGCCACCTCTTTGGAGCACTTAACACCCAGGCCAACGTGGCCATTGCAGTCCCCGATAGCAACAAACACCTTGAACCTGGTGCTCTGGCTAGCACGAGTCTGCTTCTGCACCGGCATCATCTTCCAAACCTCGTCTTTGAGAGGGGCCCCCAAGAAAAAGTCAATGATCTCAGATTCCTTAATGGGCAGGGAGTAGAGGTAGATCTCCTCCAGGGACTTGATCTTCATGTCCTTGACCAAGCCGCCCAGCTTGGTGACGGGCATCCACTCCTTATCCTCGGCCTTGCCTCCGCGAGCTCCGCGGCCTCGGCCCAGCCCGGTCCATGGCCGCAACCCTGGCCCCGGATGCCACTGCCGAAACCTCCGCAGAAGCCACCGGGGTTCCCCATCCCAGGAACACCAGGGCCTCCGGGCCCCCCGACTGCACCGGCGTCATCCGCCATTTGGTGTTTTCTCAGAAAAGAAGGCGGCATTTATATTTTAAATCTACTTTTTGATTATGAAATTGTATTGTGTAAACAACAAATTAATACAAACTTAATGTCTTGAAACAAGAAAATTTAGAGTTTTTTAGATCAGAAGTCTGGGTGCAGTTTAACTGGGTCCTCTGCTTAGGGTATGACAAGCTGCAATGCAGGTGTTGTCTGGGGCTGGGTTCTCATCTGGAGGCTCACCCAGGGGAAGGTCCACTGCCCTCTCACATAGTTGTTGGCAACATTCGGTTCCCTGTGATTTTACACTTCATGACAGTTTGCTTTTTCAAAGCTAGCAAGGGGACAGAAAGAGAATAGAGAAAGTTTGCCAGAAAGAGTAAATACTATACAATGTAACATAATCATGAGTAAAGGCTATCACCTTTACCACATTCTGTTGGTTAGAAGCAAAGCACAGGTACTGCCCACATTCAAGAGAAGGAAATTCATAAGGATGTCAACAGCACAAAGCAGAGATCATAGGACTGTGATCATTTTTAAATTAAATTAAATTAAAATTGTTTTAATGTGTTTTAGGGATGGAGTCTCACTCTGTTGCCCAGGCTAAAGTGCAATAATATGATCATAGTTCATTATAACCTCAAACTCCAGGGCTCAAGCGATCCTCCTGCCTAAGCGTCCTGAGTGTTTGTGAGTAGAGATGCACACCATCGTATTGATCTTAAAATCTGCTTGCCACAGGATTAGAATTGGCTCTGGTTAACAACACACTGTAATTTTATTTTATTTTTTCTTTTTCAGGTCTCCTCTAAAATCAGTATATTAATTTTGATTAATGAAGATTTAATGTTATCTACTTTCTGTTATACTAATAACAGCAAAATATAGCCTGCCATGAAATGGTTATTTTTTCTATTTGCTCTTCTAATTTACATATTAGTTCCAAGTATGGTAAAAATAAAACAACAATAATAACAGCAGTCTAGTAAACCAGAGCCAATAGTAGTAAAAAACCAAGTAAACGAACAGAACAGAATAATAAAGATGTAATAATGTAAACCTAACACTATGTGCTCATGCTTTCCCTGCTCAGACTGGCTCAGTAAATCCTACTGTTCTGGAAAACAAGAGTTTAAAGGACAAGCATTCCTATACAACAATAATAGACAAACAGAGAGCCAAGTCATGAGTAAACTCCCATTCACAATTGCTACAAAGATAATAAAATATCTAGGAAAACAACTTATAAGGCATGTGAAAGACCTCTTCTAAGAGAACTGCAAACCACTGCTCAAGGAAATAAGAGAGGACACAAACAAATGGCAAAACATTCCATGCTCATGGATAGGAAGGATCAATATCATACTGGCCAATATCAAAATGGCCATACTGTCCAAAGTAATTTACAGATTCAATGCTATCCCCATCAAGCTACCAATGACTTTCTTTACAGAATTAGAAAAAACTACTTAAAATTCCATATGGAACCAAAAAGAGCCCATATAGCCAAGACAATCCTAAGCAAAAAGAACCAGGCTGGAGGCATCATGCTAACTGACTTCATACTATACTACAAGGCTACAGCAACCAAAACAGCATGGTACTGGTACCAAAACAGATATATAGACCAATGGAACAGAACAGAGGGCTCAGAAATAATGTTACACATCTACAACTATCTGGTCTTTGAAAAACCCCACAAAAACAAGCAATGGGGAGAGGATTCCCTGTTTAATAAATGGTCTTGGGAAAACTGGCCAGCCATATGCGGAAAACTGAAACTGGACCCCTTCCTTACACCTTCTACAAAAATTAAGATGGATTAAAGACGTAGACATAAGACCTAAAACCCTACAAAACCCTAAAAGAAAACCTAGGCAATACCATTCAGGACAAAGGCATGGGGAAAGATTTCATGACTAAAACACCAACAGCAATGGCAACAAAAGTCAAAATTGACAAATGGGATCTGATTAAACTAAAGAGACTCTGCACAGCAAAAGAAACTATCATTGGAGTGAATAGGCAACCTACAGAATGGGAGAAAATTTCTGCAGTCTATCCATCTGACAAAGGGCTAATATCCAGAATCTACAAAGAACTTAAACAAATTTACAAGAAAAAAACAACCCCATCAAAAAGTGGGCAAAGGATATGAATAGACACTTCTCAAAAGAAGACATGTGTGCTGCCAACAAACATAGGAAAAAAAGCTTATCATCACTGGTCATTAAAGAAATGCAAATCAAAACCACAATGAGATACCATCTCAGGCCATTTAGAATGGCGTTTATTAAAGAGTCAGGAAACAACAGATGATGAAGAAGATGTGGAGAAATAGGAATGCTTTTACACTGTCGGTGGGAGTGTAAATTAGTTTAACCATTGTAGAAGACAGTGTGGCAATTCCTCAAGGATTTAGAACTGGAAATACCATTTGACTTAGCCACCCATTAGTGGGTATATACCCAAAGGATATAAATTTTTCTACTATAAAGACACATGCACACATATGTTTATTATAGCACTGTTCACAATAGCAAAGACTTGGAACCAACCCAAATGCCAATCAATGATAGACTGGATAGAGAAAATGTGGCACATATACACCATGGAATACTATGAAACCATAAAATAGGATGAGTTGGATGAGTTCATGTCCTTTGCAGGGACATGGATGAAGCTGGAAACCATCATTTTCACCGAACTAACACAAGAACAGAAAACCAAATACTACATGTTCTCACTCATAAGTGGGAGTTGAACAATGAGAACACATGGACACAGGGAGGGGAACATCATACACTGGGCCTGTCAGGGGGTGGAGGGTTAGGGGTGGATTAGCATTAGGAGAAATACCTAATGTAGATGACGGGTTGATGGGTGCACCAAACCACCATGGCACGTGTATACCTATGCTACAAACCTGTACGTTATGCACATGTATCCCAGAATTTAAAGTATAATAAAAAAGCATGTTAAAAAGTAAAACAATGTATCTTTATAAGCCATATAGCAGTCAAATCTAGAAAGAGAAGAAGTACAATTTCTCAAGACAAGAACCAGATGAGTATCATCTCAAAACCTATAAGTGCTTTTTTCCAATCTCCAGTATATTTATAGATTTTTTTTACACAAAAGCAGTTTAGTTTCCAGATTAGAAGAACAAAAATCTCCGCCAGAAAGATAACTCCCTTCTTATTAGTGGTTTAATTTTTTAAAAGACTAGGTTTCATTCCTGTGCGTTGGATTGCAGAACAATTGAGTGGTGGAGGCGTATTTTGAGAGGGAGAAAAATTGTGTGGGGAAACAGCAAATTCCTTACCTGGAGTTCCTACTTTACCATTTGAATTTACACCTTCAGTCATCATAAATATTATCATGGGGAGAATTTCAAAATTTCTTGTTGCATTTTGATTTATTAAGAGGGCAAGATGAGCAAAATGAAGTTGTAAAAAATTTGTAGAAATGTTTACCCATTTGGATTTGGCTGGGATTTTCTCTTGTTTAACTTTTTTAGGGAAAGATTTATGAATCTTGAGTTATCAGCTTAAAATGCTGTATACTGACCCATGGGTTAGACATGAAACTTTCACCTTTATAGCAACTTTAAGTAAATGTTTATGCCCGAAATACTTTGATTTGAACTAAAAAATAGTATGGAGAAGTATGGAGAATCCTTCCTCAAATCTTTGGAAGTTGATTGCTGTTGTATTTATGTAAACATAACACAAAGACTTTGGACTTGTACAGACAGCAGCCCTGGAAGAGTATATTTAATTTAGAATTATTGCACCAACAAATGAGTTACTCGATGAATGAAAGTATACCATGGTATAAATAACACATAATTTGCTAAATAGTCAACTTCTGTGTATATTGATAGAAAGATTAGAATAATACTTAGCAGCAAACATAGTTGTTTGGGTAATATTTCCTATTTCTCTTTACCAAGAAATTGGTGAAACTCACCCGTGTCAAGTCCAGGGAAGTGCTTCTGTCATGGTGTTCTTTGTATGGTCTTTTGTTGTCCTGGCGTGATATCTAAAGCAAATTTTCTGACTTCCACTTTGATAGAAGCTAAGTTTAGAGAGCCATTGCGGGTTTTATTTCAGTCTATTTCTGCAATTTCTTAGTTTCTCAAATATATTCCTATGGTTCTGCTTCACATTTTGTCTAATTTTGTTTTACACGTGTGAGGGATGCCAGAAGTCATGGGATTTTCTCTCCTCTAGTATGTGTTTGGGAAAAGGTTATGGCTGCCCTAGGTGAAATGATTTCTCTGTGCTATTCACGCAAACATTTCAGGTTGGAAGTCCTGCTCTGACTCTTTTTGGAGAAAGAAATGCCATCTAGGTTGAGGTCATGGAACACAATGGGCTGCCATATTTAAGAAAACATTAAATCTATCTTCCCTTCATGCATTACTATTAAATTATCAGTGTTTTGCTATTTGCCTAGTTTAATATGTGTGGTAAGATGACATCTACAGAAATTAGTATATTTTTAAATAAAAGAGCCAAATTATGTAAATAGTTGTAAGTACTAAGAGGCAGCATGAACATGAAATCTGAAACCTTTAGTATCTGCAACAGGATTCATTCTTTCTTTAAACTCAGTTCTTGTTCCAACACATCGATACCCATTCTTTCTGCCCATATGGTGTTTTTTTCTTTTACCCTAACTGTTTTCTTTTCTACTTCCCAGAATAAGTAGATAACATATAGCTCTTTGGCCCCAGGCCAAAACTTTGAAACTTTCAACTTTTACATCCTATTTGGAAATCTTACCTTAGAAGATTTTATTGAGAATAGTCCCTTAAATGAGTTATACTAATGGGGGCTATGCTTTAAAAGATTTTTTGGAATTATTAAACTTAAAAATTAAAATGTTTTATATTAATTTAAATGACATATTTTCAAAGAGAGAGGTCACGTCGACTCCATAGAAAGTCAAATGTAAATAATAGGTTAACAACCATTTATCTATAGAGTACTTGTTT